AGAAAGGCGAAGAAACGCTCCAAGGACCAAACCTACGGGTACACACTGAAACATGTCAGGAGTGATGGACTTGGTGAAAATGGACAAAGCCAGAATACATTTCGATCCACTTTAAACCGAAGAATTCTTCAAAGACCTGACCTTGTCGTTTTTTTGTTTCATTATGTATTATTGCTTACTTTGTTTCTCACCTTACCTTACTGGATGAACACCCAATACTCTAGTTCAAGCATGTGACTTTCCCTAGTCCGTACTTCCTCCAACAATACCTGGTGTCTCTGTAAACGCAGTCCGCTCAACGGCGCCCTGTTCATCACGTCCAAGCAAAAAACTCTCGGGAGGTCCCAAGTACGACTTTCTCACACCGCCAAGGTCAACCACCACCTTTTGCACAATGATGTTGGGCAGAAGCGCCCACACACGGAGCATATACGCGCCCTCCTGCGTCACGTTGAAAGATGTCGTAGTATAGTTGCCCGTGAGTCCCCAGACAGCATCACCCACGGCATAACCCCATCCATCGGGCATGTTCTGCCCCTGCGTCTTGCCCACTGGTTGCACCGTCTTGGGCTGTGGTGCACTTCCACCGGTCGGGTACAATGAGATACCATACTCGAGAGGGTTGCCATCCCCGAGATAGTTGGATGTGGGTGAGATGTACAGCGTGACGTTGGCTTTGCTGGTGTTGCTGAAGAGGTACATTTGGTATTCCAGCGCCGGTCCCTCACCGAGCTTGACCTTCTCCGACTCGGGCGGATACAGTCCCACTCCACCCAAGGTGCGTCCGTAATTCTCAAACAAGTGATACTCGAGTTTGCTGTTACTGCTGCTGTTGCTTGACCTAGTCGAGTTGCTGGGCTCAATGATGTTCTGGTAGTGCGGTCCTTCGATCGAAACATGTCCATCGGATTCAACAAAACCCTTGGTAAAGTTGGACGGCACCACCCGGTTGACAACAGGCACGATGACTCTCTGTCCTGATCCAGCATACTTCTCTTTGCCTTTGCACGGCGTTGTGACATTGATGTACACCTGGGTCGCGTTGGGAGCTGCCGGTGCATTCTCCCAGTCGATCGAGATCCAGACACGGCTGTCTGTACCATTGTTGCCGCCAACCGTGCCGTTGTACTGGGAGAGCTTGACCCAGGGCTGCCAAGGACTGGCTGTCCAAGGGCATGCAGTATTACCACGGGTAAATACCTCAAAGTAACGCGAGATAGCTCCATAAGGATCCAATGGAGGAACGGCGAGGTCGTTGGCAGAGTTGGTGTGCCACTTGTCGTCACCCTGGACGCTGGCATTGGACCCCTCGACGCCGACACCGATTTGGCCACCCAGAGATGGGAAGGCTGTCTGGACATAGCGCATATCTGGGAGGGTGTTACGCATGGGCTGCTGCCAGTAACCGTCATATCCGAGATGGGTTTCTGTTGCGCGGCATGTTAGTACTAATCAGACAGACAGAGAGAGAGAGAGAGAGAGAGAGAAAGAGAGAAAGATTTTGGTTCTTCAACTTACGATCAAGCATATGCTGCCACTTTCCGTCGAGCAGTTCATCCCATCGGATCGTCAGTTCGGCGTCCGCATCAAGTAAGGTCCTGGACTCGTCAATGATATCGTTTGCCAGGTTGCGCTTCTGCCCTGCAAACAACTGGTTCTTCGCACCGTTGATCTGGATCTTGTGGAGGATTTCGCCAGCTGAAATGGGATGCAAGATCATCTCGAAGAAAGCCGCCCGATATTCCTCCGAGAGGACATCGTACACAGCTTGAGCTTCCTCTCGAAGAGTGGCCCACTGTCCCAAAACAGCATCTGCCTCGTTGTAGTTGATGACTGAGTACGTGTTTGGCTCAACCAATTCGTACTTTCTGCGAGCAGCGTACATGCCATACCGCGTCAAGATGTCCGTGATGTTGCTTGCATGGTCGCCGCCAAACTCTCTGGTAGCCCAGGCTTCGAGCCACTTTCCGGTGCCGTCAACACCCCATTTTTCCGTGTCGTAGGCGAGATCGAAGAAGTGGCTGATGGGGATCTCGAGCGGCTTCAAGTCACCGACGTTGACAATCCAGATCCTGCGTGCGTTCCGGGCATACGCCAAGGACATCTGCTCCGCCGTCTTCTCTAGCTGAATCGTGTTGATCCACTTGTAGTCGCGCGGGTCGCCGACATAGTCAAAGTGGTAATAGACGCCCGCGCCGCCGCTCCGGTCAGTCTCGTTCACCAGAGGTAGCCTTCGAACATTTCCCCAGTTGTCGTCAGCCCACAGCAGAGTAATGTCCTCGGGTACGACGAGGCCCTTTTCTTGGTACGACTGGACTTCCTTGTAAAGACACCACAACGACGGAACCTTCGAGGCACTGTCGATCTCAAGTCCTTCTTCAATAATGGTTCGCTGATTGGCCACGAGCTCCTCCAACATCGTGACGATACCTTCCACTCCCAAGTTTCCCTCAATAGCAGTATCACCCGTGCCGCGCATGGCCATGGTCCACAAGCTGTTGCGAGCATAAGGTTTGGCACGCTGCACGCCGTAGCGGAAGTAGTCGTCAATGGTCTTGTTGTTGAGGTTGTAGGCCCATTGGCCCTGGTAGAATGTTCTAAACTCGTTTTGAGCGCGCATCAGAGGCTCCGTGTGAGAGCCACCGAGAACCACTTCGTAGGCGTCAAGGAGGGGCTGGTTCAGCGGGTCGTCGACGTAGACCATGCTTCCCCAGAGCGTAGGCCAGAGATAGTTGGCGCGCAGACGCAGAAGAAGCTCGCTGACGAGACTGTAGAAGTGGTAGTTGTACCCGGCGGCATTGTTCCAGGTGTCGTTCCATTTGGTTCTTTCTGCATGTTAGCCTTGTTCTCTCCAGAAGAACCAGACTGATGTGACTTACGAAACCCAGCTGGACAGACCCGGCTGCTCATCGTTGATGAAGAAACCACGGTACTTGACCGCAGGAGATCCCTGGACCTTACGATCAGGCAGAACGTAGATCTCGGTCGCTTTCTTGGACGGCACGTCGGCCCAAAAGTACCATGGACTGACTCCAATCTGCTCGCTCACGTCGTAGATACCGTAGATGGTGCCTCGGGGGTCACTACCGGCAATGACAAGAGCCCGGGAGCATCCCGGAATGGGCTCGTCGATCAATTGGCTGACGAATGACTCCCACTGTCCTTCAACCTCACTCGTATTGAGTTTTTGGGCCTTGATGAGGCTGTCAATGACCTTGGAATGGCCAATGGTGCCGACGATGACAACGGTGCGATCGGGGGCGGGGTTGGTGTAGTTGGGACCGGAAAACGACTGTTCGTCTAGAACTCGGTACTGTGGAATATGCTTAGCGACCATTCTCTTTTCAAAAAGAACGCTCTCCAGAGCCACTCAGATCACTTGGACTGCAGCACAAGAAGGAGACTCACAACGGTGTTATTGGTGACATCCACTGGCGAGAAGGTGTAGAGAGCAGGCTTGGAGCTGTTTCCGCCATTGCTGAGCGTGTAATTTGTGCCGGTGACCCGACCAAAATCCAAAGCCAAGTCGCCTGCTGCTCGAATTACTCCCCAGTAATCGTCGTCTGATACCAGAATTTGACCTGTCCCTATATCTCCTCCGGCAACTTGGAAGCTTCCAGACGCATTCTCAAACGAGACGATCGGTTGTTGCCCCAATGCCGAGATCAGAGGTGCCAGGCTCGACAGGACCACAAGGGAGATTGACTTGAGCTTGACAAACGCCATGACTGCGGGCTTATGGTGGCTCACGCCTGTATAAGTTTCACTCGCCTAAGGACAATGTCACGGACAGACAGTAGGCAGCATCATTGAGAAGAGAAGGGCTACCGCTTTTATTAAATACACAAACGAGCGCCCAATAGCGCGAAAGCGCTCCAGTCCTTGGATCAGGAACGGTTGGAGACCCCAGACCAGGATGACGCTTCTATGGGGAAATCAGATTGAACAGGCATGGCAGGGTGGGATCGACTGATGGTCCGGAGTATGAACGGCACTCACAAGCTAGAAAACCATGGAGAATAACCAATAACGGCACGAGAACCGCCTTCATGGACGGCCGGGGACGGGTGACACCAGCCAAGATGGGATGACGGTGCCTGACCGACGGGTAAAAGGGACCACTTCCTTGGCCACCATGACAGGCCGGAGCAAGGGCCGGCGAGGTGATTAGGCATGCTGAGAAGAGAAGAGATGGTCGTCCTCGATACGGAAGAGGGAGACCCCAGCCTCCAAAATGCTTGAGTCGAGCTTTCCCCGCAGCGCGGCGCGGCCGGGTCCTCGAAGCGAGCGGCTTCCAAGACTCTTTTTACCCCACGCCCGGCTTTGTTCGGCCACAACTTGCTCAAGAACCGGTGCCGAGTTACGGCAGTGAGCCTCTGTTGGGTATGCTGAAATTGGACTTTGATTGACCCTTTTGCCCTTGCCCTTACTTCTTCTCCAAGGACGTTTCTCACTTATGATTTTGTCCGGATTTACTTACATTAAACGAGCCAGACTTCATAGACATTCAGCCAAACACAAACAAAAGAGAGATGAACTGCCTACCCCAAAAAGCAATCATCTAAGCAATTTGGAGATTTCTTGATCTGCGCGTGATCTCACGGCAAAAGTCACTGCGGGGAACCACCAGTTGTGACACTGGAAGTGGAGAGTTGCATTTAGCCGTAAAGTGAACATCATCCCGGCCGGCACCAAATTCTCGCCATGTTAGCAACTTTACTCCCCCTGATTACCCGGTCACCCTAGTCTTGTTAAACAAAGTGGCAAGGAGGTCATCACAACGAGTAGCCCGACCCCTTGGGTCCGTGATATGTATTTGGAGAACTTCGGCACGTCTTGCCGCCCCCCACCCAGACACTGTTCGTGTTGAGGCTCTACAAAAACATACATGTACTTGATCAAACGCGTCACCACTCACGCAATCCCGGCTATCTCATATCGAGTGGGAAGAGGAGCGTTAACGCACCAATATCATAATTTTGATTCTGTTCAGCAGATACCTAATCTGGCTGGTTCACGCCAGATCGATAATGGACCTTGAAGACGTATGCAGAAGATGAGCCTCGAGAGAAGGAAACCTCGTCGATCTTTCTGGGTTCCGCCTCAATCCAAATACGATGTGTGATGACAGTCCCGTACTGAATAATGGTTGCAGATTTGGGCATCAAATTCGACTTGTACAGGCCCGACTGATCCGTAAATCGACACATCATGTAGTCGCGAATCTCCGACAGTCTCTCTTCGGCCTTAACCCCGGGGATCACTTGTGCGTATCTCATCAGTAACTCCGACTCGGTCCCTTCGACCGAAAGCTCGTCAAAAAGTGCTGCCCACGGTCGACAACGCGAGCCATCCCACTGAAGGCCACAGATGATGCCCAGGGTAACTTTCTGTAACGGGTATCCGAATTGGATCTTGAAACAATGCGTCCCAGCGAAATTGTCGAGCCCGTGGCAGTCAAAGACAAAGTCTGCGACGGAGGATCGCACGCATGCCTCCACAGGATTCGCAGTCTTGGAAATAATCAAGTTCTTGAGCTGCGAGTCGTACTCGAATCCGATCTTGGCTCCCATGAAGGACGCCAGCCTCGTCGTTTCGTGATCGTATAGCGTCTTGCGGATGCAGGCGTCAAAGGTCTCCAGCGTGGCATTAGACCATTGTAATCTCGAGTTGTATGCATATACCTGGTCTGGAACCGCTCTGACAAACGTCGTTCCAACCTTGAGAAGCCAGATCGCAAGCCACTTCGGAGTCCCTTGCGTTCTGACACTGGTTTCGAGACAATCAAGACTCAACGCGTAGAACGCGTCAGCACCGTTCGCCGCATCAGCAACGTCATTCGCCGGCAGCCTGAGCTTTTGGGCCTTGACTTGAAGGCCGTTATTAGTGAGGGTAAAGTCGTTCCTGAACTGGAATCGATCTCGGTGTCTCATGAGGGTAGAACAATGTGTGAAGTCTGCGGGAGACTCTGCGAATACGCCGCTGAGCCCTGGAGCCGCAGGCGCTTGGTAATCGACCTTTTTTTGCCATGCAAAAAGGCTCAAGTCGTTGGTCTCATTGGCAATGTGTTCTTGAAGTCTTTGAAATGCTTTTGATCCCTCGCCGTATAGCAATGGCATGTTGATGTCAAAAATACCAAGGAGGCAGTAGGCAATGTCCTCAACTCTTGTGGTTTTCCGGCCGGCTGCCCAGGACATGCGACGCGCTATCGGGAGCGTTTGTAGGTCTGAGTTGTCTTGCAAGATGCTCACATCAACGCGTGTGATCTCCTGGATGATGGTTATGAGGTCGCTTTTCTCGCCTACCAAGTTCCATTTCTTGTCGTAAAACTCGATTTGCTTTGAGGCTATGAGCTCTTGAAGAGTCCAGCCCCGAGAAAACCAGCGGCACTTGGGTAATTTTTCCCGGAGATAATCGTAGCGATATGTGCCCCTCAGCCCTTCAGGTATTGGACTTAGGTCTGCTAGGTAGACGTAACATATTTCGGCGGATTGATACCAGGAGTACATGGAGTTGATGGCTTCTGTCAACTCGGCACTGCTGCTCTTATCAATGCAGCATGTGTCGACCCATGCGTACTTGAATTTGGAGCGAGCAAGCTTGCAGGTCATCCTGATTTTGTTCCATCCTGTCTTTGTCTTTGCACTGTTCAGATTTGACATGTGGTGAAACTCGACCTCTTGGTTGCTCCAGGTGTGGGAGAGAATGGCGTACGAGCGTGTGCCATTTTGTCGATGATCCGCAACGCGATGTAATGTCGTTTTCTGTGTGTCGATCAGCCACATGGCCAAGGCTGTGCGCATCAATGTTCTGGAGTACTACGAGAGCAAGGCCGCAATGCTAGGATGTTGACTGTTCTGAGAAATTTGAATCATGCATCGTTTGTGCGATCTTGTCAGGCAAGGTAAGCAAGGCTGGCAATTAAGTCCAGATACGGACGCGTGACCACCTATCACACTGCGGCCCCTCATCTCATGCATTCTCATGCATGGCCTAATACCAACGCAGATGCCCGTTTACAGCTCAGAGGTTATCTCAGCTTCTTCGTCCTCAGCACCAGAAACAACAATTCGAGTCACTATGAAACGACGATCGTTGAAACGCAGGGCCTGTCAATTTGTTCAGCGTCACGGTCTGCGATGAGTACAGTGACGGAATTTCTTCAGTGCATTCCTTACAATTTTTATGTACATCCCAAAACCAGCTACGCCATTGAAACTCCGCTCAGGAGGGTTGCCGTTGTCGTCCCGAGTCTCGAAAATCGTGTCATTCGATGAAAGCCTGTCGTAGTGACGCTTGCCATGATTGGGATGCATCCGTGTCGCAACGTCCCCATGCGCCGCCATCCAAATAGTCCAATGCCAGTCATTCCTTGACTACGACTACGATGCTGGGGGTACGTAGGCGTATCTCGGTATTTGCGCCATGCGCTCCTCAGGGCTGACCTCTGTGTCTGCATAGAACATTCTGCCGTTCTTATCCTTCTTCGACTTCTTGTCGCCTGCGGCCTCGTCACCGGCTTCATCTTCGGGCTTCTTGGCCGGCTTGATACCGGACTCGGCTCTGCGAATGAGCTCGTCGATTTCGTCTCCGTGCTGTGCCGCTCCAGAAACCAGCTCATCGACAGTGGATGCTCCTGGGAACCCAGGCGGCGGTGCGCCAGAACCATTCCAGAACTGGCCGCCATGTTGGGGGGGCCGTTGAGGTAGGCCGGGCATCGCTTGGAGGCCACTCGTCGGTCTCGCGGGAAGAGATGATGCAGAGAAACCACCAAAGTTGCCTTGCGGATAACCCTGTTGAGGGTAAGCCGGAGCGCCAGGGGCAGCACCAGGCGGGTAGTTTTGATCGGGAGAAGCACCGTAAGGCGCTTGAGGCGGTGGGTACGGAGAGTTGTTCTGTGATAGTTAGCTTAACGTCATACATGTACAGCATTATGGATGCATGGGTACTTACGAATGCACCTGGGCTTGCGCTTGCAGGAGCGCCGTTGGCAGGGCTGCCGCTGGTAGCAGGAGGGTGGCCGGCGGCCAGTCGTGCGCGATGCTCGGCAAGGCGGGCCTTCAACTCTTCGGGAGTTTCGACTTTGAGTTTCTTTCTCGGCTGTTTCGACTGGCCAGGTAAAGGATTACCAGTGGCAATCCTACGGTCCTCTTGGGCCTGGTAGAAGTTCTGAATAATGCGGTTCCTGTGCTGGTCTAGAATATCCTGGGGAATACCCTCCATGCCGAAGATCTCCACATCGAGGCCTTGCCGGTTCGGTAGCGCATTCTCGACTTGGGTGAGAGTTTCCTTGTGAACTTGGTTCAGATGGACGGAGAGACCTGCGCGACACGAGACGTTAGCTTGCGATTCCATAGAGAACGGGGTTGGTAAACTGACCTCCAGCGGTATTGAGTCGGCGACCGCATCTGTCGCACTTGAAGTGCTTGGCTTTCTGATGAGAGATGAGAAGCTTCAGATCTTCAAAATCACGCTCGCCTGCGAAGAAGTTAGCACATGCGCTCAGATCCGAGACGCGAAAGGCAATGGATGCATACAGTAATAGCACCATGGTCGGGAGAGGACGTCCTCGACGTCAGGGTGTCCACGCTTCTTCTTGCCCATTGCGACGACTATTGATTAATCTTTATTCGGAAACAGTGTCGGCGTGATCGTGGGATTTCGAGATAGTTGTCCGGTGGGGATAGAATGAGGTGGGATACGGCGGAGAAATGTGACGTTCGCGGATGCCAGAGAGGTACCGTGGCAGGCTGGCGAAGGGATTTGACGCGAGCTTGCTCGACCAGCAATTCACTGCACCTGCACCTGCGCCGAGTTGAGAGCAATTGGGCGCTAATCCGGATGGAGACTAGCCTTTTGAACTGACCTATCATTGGTCAAGCTCAGTAGTGGTATCCACACAGTCTCTATAGCCTGACTAAGTAGTTAAACTGTATCTTCCTTCACACAGTACGCCTCGGCCCCGGCTTGGCCCAAATGGCGGCCGAATCGACGACGATCCTCGCATCAATCAGCGCAGTCATCTCACAACGACAAGCCATTAGATTACCACACCCATCCACCCAAGCAACTTTCTAGTACGGCATAAGTGACGCTGGGCACCAGCCATTGCAATTCATACGGGTTCTAATACCTTGCGCTTGATTTCGATTTCGATTGAAATATCACCACCTGAAAACACCGTATTCCTGTATCAAAAACCTCCAACTGCCCACTTCCGGAATCCCTACCTTGGGAAGAAATAAAGGATTCGATGCGGTTTCTTAACAATATTACGGTACATCTGACAAAACCTTCACGATACGATGTCGCGGCGTATGCCAGATGAGCTCTGGGTGTATATCCTATCACATCTACCAACCTTCAAATGTCTTAGAGATGCAGCCCTCACTTCTCCAACTTGGCTCCGATGCGCCTCGTCAGCATGTCGGCAGGTGCTCCTGAACGAAATAGGCCCACTCTCACTTCCTTATGCTGCCATGGCGTTAGAGTCATCCAAATTCGACCCGAAAGACCTGAATCTCGTTGCCGCCTTTAGTGACGAATATCTTAAGAGACGGCCTCGTATTCCTCCCACCGTCAGCTTAGCAGATGGCTTCCAACTAGCAGAATTGCACCAGTGCGTCGGCCATCTGGGATCCAAGTTCCGAGATATGGCTCTACATCGTCTCATGAAAGAGCAGTGCAGTCTCGCCAACGATCGTCCTGACTGGCCTGACGCGCCTTCTTCGGCTGAGAAGCCAACAGATGCCGAGTCTGCTCGTTTTCACAGAGCACTATATCGATTCGAGGCCTACTGCAAGCTCTTCAAAGATCCCGAAGTTGTACGTTTCAATCTGGACATCGTGAACTTCCAGAGAGAGCACTTTTTTGACTACCTGTCACCGTGGGAGATTGAGCAATTGGTTGCGACAAGGGATTTTCTGGCAGCGGTTGTCATTGGTCCTCGTAAGTTGCCCGGCATCTCTCAACCCTACATCATGTTGACAATTCTCTGTAGCATTACGTGCGCTCGTGGAGCTTCGTAAGATTGAGGCTCTGCAGACACACCATTGCGGCCCTAGAAATGGGGCTCAAGTCGTGTACTGGACCGCCCCAATCTTACCTCCCAATTTAGAGCGCGGCGATTGTCACATCAACCAGAACCAGGCTCGGCTGCTATGCTTCGGGATCAAGTTTCTCTACAGGGTGTCAACATCACCGCCAACTCAGTTTTACCAGCTACTTCTCAACCTCCCGCAACAGCCACGGTACGCCAGTTACAACAGAGTTGGCGAGATTTACTCATGGTTCACGGATGCTGTTGATAGATGCGTCGAAATGAGCAACTTGGAACTCCCTATTAGGAAAGCTCTGTCATCCTACACTCCGGACGAGTACAAAGAGTATGTCCGGCAGTCCCTGGTAAGCGAGGACACAGATAAGGGCCCGGAAGAAGCCTGGTATTGGGCATATCAATCTTTTCCAGGGTCAACCTGCAACGATCCTCGGATGACGAACTGTCGTCTCTTTGGCTTGTTCTTCTGGGACTCTGTTCGGCTCAACACCATCAACTTCTTCACCCGTGTCGACGTTTGGTGGTGGAGGTGGGAAGGGGCCCGGCAGCCAGACTTCGACTGGGAAATTGAAGCGACAGTGCCCCCGGCATCTTTTTGGTGATGGCAGTCTCGTGTATGCTTCCCACGGCCATTGGGATTCTCGGGCTTCAAGTGGGCTGCGCATTAGGTGGGCGTAGGGTCACATGACTGGTGTGCCACACTCAATCCAGCCGGGACTAATCTCTTGCAACGAAAAGACTCCTCGAACTACATACGACGAGCATAACACTCATGCGTATGATAAAAGGAACGTCCAATCATTTAGGCCACAAGCTTGCAAGTGGTGATACGCTCAAAATGGGACATCGACACAAAGGCTATGGCTATCAGAAGCCAAGGAAGTTGGGTCAACGACGAAGGAAAGAAAGGCAGAAAGAAGAAGGCGACTTGATCTTGAATCTTTCAAAGGCTCCGGGCGACGGGCAGAAACATCGACTTCGACTGTGGGGAGGAGTGAAACAACGAGGGAACCTGGAAAGGCAAAGAAGGAAGAAGGAAATCGAGACATGCGTCCAGCATTGTCCACTATCGTCCAGAAGGCTCAACGACATCCAGCAACCTCACGCCGGCTTCATGAGACTTTGCGAGCCATTGCACAACTCAATGAGATCAATGACAAGGAATCTGGGAGATGGCATCCAACTTGGATGTAAGAAGGAAGAGGATCGGTCTAGTGCGGGCCCGGGTTCCGTGTCGGGGTCGGTGGCACGCAACGGGGGAAGTGGAATACTGTCTCCTGATTGGCCACTTGGAGGAGAGAGCAGCCCGGGGGAACACTCACCATATAAAACCCTTGGGTATCCCACCACCCTCCATCTCCCATCCTCTCCTCATCCCCTCTTCTTTCTTCCGTGTTATCAGAGAAACTTCTCCAAGGGCCCAAATTCCCCTCTGACTTTCGCTTTCCATCCAGGACAGGTCCCTGGATCCTACCAGAGCCCATCTCGGACTTCTCAGACTTCCCTTGGCACTCACTACCTCTGCACCGCCCCGGAGGAGATATTATAGGTCATCAGCCTCCATCTCATCCCCCATCTCAACTGATTCATTTCATCATCCCAAGAGTTCCTCAACCATCGCCATCTCCATCCAAAGCATCTCCACTCCTGCTTACGAGGCCTCGTCAAGATAGCACCATGGCTTTCTTGCCTCTCACCTTTGATACTCACCCAGACTTCACCACTGAGCCACGATCCGGGTCCCCATTGAGACCAGGACGTCAGACATACTCAGCAATGGTGTCATCTCGGGAAAGCACTTCCCCTCACGGTCACAGACACAGACATGCCCTTGCCGGGCCACGTGATCGACGCTCGCCAGCGTCCCCGACACAAACGTCGATGCGGGCATATTACCCTGCCGACTACAGAGAAAGAGTCGTGTCCAATCCCATGAGTGATGAGCAGCTGTACAGCCTGCCACCATCTCCGCGCTTGAGGCACCAGCCTCCGTCATACCGACGAAGTCCTGGACCTGCATCGCAGAGACGGAGACGCAGCCCGGATCACGACAGCCTTGTTGCAATGGGATCATGGACTAGCCAAAACACCCACAACGAAGAACCGTGTACAAGATCCGGGCGTGAGAAAGGCAGCAGCACTTTCCACAGTGGCGACTTTTCAGCCAGGGATGCGCCATATGATGACTTTATCCTCTTCCCCGATGATGCTGGAGAATGCATGCACGAGGACTTCACAGCCCCGGCTCAATCGTCGTCAGCCCCTAGGGCTCCTCGCATCACTAGACTTCGCACACCAGACCTAGCGCCGCTGTCGACAGATGTCCAGTTCTTCCCCTGCCTCGGCGGTGAATCTGAGCGAGACAGGATTAACGAGGCCTGGTACATTGCCGGCCGGGAGAGAGTCGAGTCTCAATGTCAGTGCTCTTTCCACAAGCTCACGATGACACATCGTGATGTGCTGTTTCGTGGAGCTCAATGGCTGACTTTGACGCAGTGGATGATGCCTTGGCTTACATGTCGGCTGTAGAGGGACGCAGTCGCACGCGCAGAGGGTGAGGAGCCACCCAGGAGGGATCCTTGGATTATTTCGTGATGAAATCAGACGCAGTTTGTCGTTTTTCTGATGAAAATTGGTCGAAGTGGCTGATCCGTGTATGACTGTTTCTGAAGTTGATGTCCTGGTGTATGGCGTTTGGGCAAGGCGTTCGTCCAGATCGAATGGACAGGTTGACAAGCAACCTATAATCTGTGATGTTTTATACAATCAAAAGGGAGCACTCAATGAATGTGAATCTTGTCTTCTTGGACTTAGGTATTTTGGTTTTGAAGTGGTTGAAGCCATCGTCAACCAAGACGTAGAGAATCCGGGTGGTGCACGACAACGACAGGGAGGCCGCCGGATCTCAGCAGGCAAAGTAAGGTAAGGCAAGGCAAGAAAAGTGTAAGTGAGATTCAAAATGAAATGCACGTATCGTGCCTATAGTTCCTGTCCACAATAGGGAACGGGAATGGAAGTGAGAGCAAAAGTGAAGATGAAAACCTCGCAAGACCACTTACACGGGCTGAACCCGAAGAACGAGAAGTTCGGGGGACCATGAGAGGACGAAGGGACATGAAAGTTCGGGGGGGAGGGAGTGACGTTGAGTGAGAGCGGCCGGGGGCCCCTGCAGTTACCTTACGTAAGACACCTGCTGACTAACAGAATCTATCTCCTCACCGAAGGCACCCGTGCTCACCGAGTTGCCTTCACCTTGCTGGTGCGGACCTCGCAGGCAGGATGATGCCTCATAGCACTGGACCTATTTGGAGACTAGAACTTGAGAGATCAAGGCATAAGAGTTTGTGTTCTAGTAGGAGAAACACACAGGGTTTATTTCTAAGAAAGATATTCACCAAAACTTTTTAACATTGAGCGAATGAAGATTTGTTGCCAAATTTTACCAGTATTCGTAAATTAGAATATCATAGTCTGAACTCTTAGACTTGTAGCTACCACTTTCTGACATTTGGTCAATTGAAAGATTGGAATCATTCTGAAGGTTTGGTTCACAATGGAGGGATGCTCCGAAAGTTCCATTACTTGGTTCACAGTGTACTGGCTTTAACTGATTATTTCGAATTTCTAGCTTCATTAGGGGTATCATTTTTAACAACTCGACTGCTCGGCTTCCGCAAAATCTCTCCTTCCCGGTCAGAACCTCTTTCCAGGTAGCTGTTTAGCTCCGTCTGCCCTTGTCAGGGAAGAAAGTGATCCTCGACATGTAACGAGGACCAGGAGGATTCCTCACCACGAGGTTCGCTCTGACTCCAACGTTAGGCTCTATCCGGGACCGCAGAGCCAGAGCAGCAGGAACCGGCAAGCCCCAGACCGAGTAGCCTCTCTTCATGCTATCCTTGACACAGTCCCGTAGTACGCTGGTGAATTTCTCGGCAGACGGATGGCGCATGATCCCCATTTCGTTGAAGAAGTGGGGGAAATTGTCAATATCATGAAGGCGGCGGACTTCGGTGGATAGCTGGAGAGCGGCACCGGGAGGGGGTGCGCCATGACGGTCGAAGAGCTCGTCCCTGATTTGCTCCAAGGTCTTGTCGTTGGACGGTCTGGCGATGCGGCGGAAGAGCTCCGAAAACATGAGGAGTCGGTATGAGGTGCGATTCGCCTCAAAAGTTCTTTTCAGACGATACCCCGAGACGTGATCAGGCTCGAGATAGCTCAACTCCGGCATATTGGAACCCCTCCTGTCGAGCATCCAGACAACATTGCGTGTGATGGCCTCGGTGATGATCGCTTTTCTCATGGCCTCCGTCATATCAATGTCGCTGATGAGGAGGTAGACCAGGAGGTGGCCGAGATTCGGACACGATATCTTGGAGGTCTTACCACTCATAAATCTCTTGATTTTGTTATTGGCGTCAATGACCAGTTTGGGATCCGCCGTCGCCAGGCAGAGTAGAAGGTGAAATAGATGAAAGTAAGACTCGATCGCCTTCTCCGATGCGTGCCGCAATGTACTCATCCGTGGAATCCTGACATTATCGTTGCCCCTGTATGCTGCGCCGCTAGATGCTGTGTGTGTATCTACTTGGTTGAGCCTTACAACAATGTCGTTCATGAAGGCGGCGAGCACTCCCACTGCAGAGTTGTTTGCGCTCGGTAATGAGATAGCCACGGCTAGACTACGCATCACGGGTGCAACATAGTCCTTGACGGAGGACCAGTGGCGGCGGCTGAGTGGCAGCGGAAGCCAGTGTTCGAAGGCAACATTGTGGACGGAGAAACGGACTCCCAGGTCCTGAAATGCCGGTAGAGAGATGAGGTCAAACTCTGATTCAATAGCCCGCTTGCGTTTGGGGACCATGACGCCTACACCAAGCTTTGTATCTCGGAAGTTGGTTTTGGTGACAAAGCATTGGAGTTCCCTCAATCGGATAACATCATACGCGCGAAGCATGTCTGCAATCCGCGGCCAAGCCCGTGAGAAGGAGAGAAGGTCCGCGAAGTCGAGACTGTGGAGAGTTTCTAGCAGAAGCTCGTCAGGCAAAGCGGCCAAGACACATCCCTGGTGGTTCTTGGAGGCAGCCGCTGTAGTTGCAGCACTTGATGAGGATGATGATGGCGTCGGCGACAAGGCTTTCAGGACGTGTCTTCGAGCTCTTCTAAAGTCTGCCTTGCTCTTGGTTCCATCAAAATTGCAGTGAGGACACTTGAAGTCCTGCCGACATTTGAGGCTCTCTTGCCGATACCACTCGAGCGGCTCGGTATAATTGCCGCCCTCCTGCTCCAATGAATCGCTGCTGAAGAAGCTCAGCATTTGAATGGCAATGCCCTTGAGGGTATACGCCGGCGTGTATCCCTCGAACGTGTTGAGAATTGATGCGCAGATGTAGGTATCATATACGTTGGGATGTACCATTCGCGTGTTCATCTTGATGGTGGGAGCGACGAGAGGATAACGGTCTCCGAAGTTGACGGTGGTGTGCATGGGCATCCAGCCCTCTGGCTGTAGGACAAGGCATGCCCGGCGAATATCTTTGTCTCTGGTATGTAATGCGACGCGAGGGTACGGGTTTCGCTGCAACTCGGCAAAATCCTGAAGCAATCGACGCTGAAGGTGTGCGGCCATGGTGGGGGATGATGGTTGATGGTGTCTTTACTTGATGATGGTAGAAGACTAATAGTGTAAGGGGAGGATGGAGATGCAGACTAATCTGCGTCGTTATGTATGCGCATAAAGAACTGAGGCCGCCTCTTCCTTAGGATTATCTTATCGAATTGTAATTCGGGCTGAGTCAATCGGCGGATGTTGTAGTTGTGCCATGCTGGAGTCGTCATTTGGCCTCACTTTCGCAGAGGCCTCAATGGGGCAGCGCAGCCACACATTTGAGCCGCCTCACGCCCGCGATCCTTCCGAGGAACATCTCGGTATTTCCTTTGGTAGGTACTTACCTAAGTGTTCCCGGACGCTGCTGCATTTGCAAAATTAGGGGAAAGAAAGTTCAGGCGCGGACTCTTATTCCCGCTTGCCTGTTGCGCCCAGATGGGTTCCGGCACTCTGTTCAGTGGCTTTCAATCGTGTTGTGCTTGATCCGTACTCTTGCAACAGAATGCATAAGCTTCGGCGAATAACAAGACTTCTCACGCCAACTTCATATTTTTCCCTCGGGGCCGACAACTCGTCTCTCAGGAGGTTTGCAGGAGACCAAGTCGCACGGGAACCAAGTAAGCGTGTCACCGAGGGAAACAGCACCGTGGCAGGAGTTCAAATAAAGTTGATTTGCAGAAGAGAAAGAGGGCATTGTGGTAGACAGAGGGGAATTTGTGGCTCCTCTCTACTGTCTTGTCCCAGGCCCGTTTCTGAGCTCGTCTATGGTATCTTGATATCGAACAAACGCTCACTCTTTTGCTGTAACCTGTTGAATGCTCGTTCGCAAACCAGAAGAGTGTTCCGCTGGACCCCCAATCAAAGAGGGGGTGTGCCGGTGAGATCAAATCGCCAGCCAATGCCAAATTAACCCAAAGGTAGATGCTCACCGCTGCCATAACGCCGCCAATATGCAATGAGAAAAGGTGGGAGTGTCTTGAGGAATCCCGTCAACCCCGCCTAGGGGATTGTTGCTTCATCTGTACCCTCCGTACGGTCATAAAGGTTGATTTCGTCTCAAAGGTCTCCGTCTTGGGATTCCAGAATCCCCAGACGTCGATCAATACGAAGCCCTTGGGTAGTTCGCATTCGACGAAGCCTGAAACGAGGATGCAGCCGCGCGGAGGAGACGGTCTTGTAGGCTTCCAGGACTGCGCGAGTTTCCGTCGAAATTCTCTTGCAGGGCCGTCTGTTATTTGCTTCATCCCCTCTATATGGGATATGGCAGTGTCCCTGACAAAGTTGGTTTTGCCGCCACTCTCTGGCTCGTCTGCCTGTGATGCATCCGTTGTCTTGCTGACATTGTGAGAGGCATTCTCTGCCGGCGTGCCATCCGGAGTCTGTCTGTTGGCAGACGGAAGAGGCCCCTGAGACTTTTGTTGCATGTTGCCACCGCTGACTGAAGGGAACGGTTGGACAGGCTTGCTTGACTCGAACCCAAGGGCTCGGGAAATATCCATGTAGTGTTGCTTTAACAGCGCACTAGTAAAAGCCCACGATGACACGGCAATTGCATCCGGCCAAAGTATCTTTTGCAGGCGTTTGACGGTCAAAGAGTCAACGGGCTGGGTTGACCAGTACAATCCATCGCCTTGCAGCAGCAACCTAGAGCGTATTGTTAGTGACTACCTCGTCGCAAGTCGTGAAGGGTTTCAGTTCGCTTACCCAGAAGAGTAGAACACCGGTGGTGGACGGTATGGAAAGTCGATGTCCAGCCAATATCTACGAAGCCTTACTGAGTTGCCACATCTGGCTGTGATTACCGGGTGCCTCTCGACCGAGGACTTCACCCAGTTGGCAAGGTCGGCTAGTGACAGCGATCAGTCGGGAGAACACTTGCAGCCAACTCCCAGAATAGGTACTTACCGCGGATTTGAGTCTGCGTCCCCTTTTGCTTGCTGAGTTTGACGAATTCTTGCCACTCGGGGTCGCTGCCCTTATACGGCGGCTGATTGACAGATTTCGTCGTAAAGGGGAACGGAATGAACCACGGCTCAGCATCCTCCTCTGCGATTTCTTCGTCAAGCGCCTTCTTCTCCGCCGGTGAAAGCTTCTCGTATTCGCGATCTACATGTCGAAAGAATGGATTTAAAACGGTGGACCAGTAAATGTGCCAGCACGCGAGTGAAATGCCTGCTCCGATGAGGAATGTTCTAGGCGCAAGGTTAGAGAAAGCACGCTTGACACAATCTGTGCAATGTGGACATACCCGGCCCTGAATCTAGGTTTTGAAAGCTTCACCCTCTGTACGATAACAGTCTGTTGGCTAGGAACTTGTGGCGCAACTGCGCGAACAGCCAGGGTGCTCGCATTCGATATGCCAGCGCGAGGTCGGAATACCCGCCACATCACTGTAGAGGGGGCTCGCCGAGCGCCGGCTGCCGGAGACGAAGGAAGGACGAGTGGTTGTCGGTGAGAGTTCGATGGCGTCGATCGTGATGCTTCAGCTTCGTCGTGGTTCTTTCGGCGGTTGATGAGGATGGATGAAGGATGGCAACGACGGCGGCGGCTGCAGTGGGATGGATGGCGACAAGAGGCGAACCATGGAAGCCGGTAAAGTCGCGGTTGTTGAAAGAAGAAACGGGGCGCAATACGATGAAGTAAAACTCCTCTGGTGTCTTACAGCGCCCTCGTGGCGGCTTGGGCGACAGCTTTGATGTGCGATGTATGACAACGTTTGCTTCGAGACTACCACTGGTTCTCTTTCGCATCAAACCAACGGGAGGTTCTAGATGCGTACCGGTAGATGCGTTGCTATCGGCACACAGTGTGACGAGAGCCCCTCCGATAACGTCCCGCCACTCTGTACTACCGTGGTGCATGAACCGTTGACTGTTGACGGCGAGGAATGCGGCAGCTGAAGATGGGCCCGGCAGCTTACCTAAGGGAAGTCCCAGCTGTCCCGGCAGGTACGTACAGTGCAAGCCTGAGAACTTCAGGCACGGACATGGGGAGGAACGCCCACGGTCCAACTCATGGAAGGGACCTTCCTCCGGCTCTCCACAGTGTAGCAGTGAATTACCTAAGCATTTCGATGCCACCTCACCTAAGGTAGTAATACGGTCGGAAGAATATCTCTGCCGATCTCCGCTACTGGAACACGGGGGTAGGATGGGCTTAGCCTGGAACTTGTGGCAGTAGCAACAGCGTGCAGGCGCAGCACTGTGAGCTCGACATCCTCGACGCACGCCGCAGCTTGGAGAGAGAGAGAGAGAGCAGCAAGCAGCAAACAGCCGCATCCACAACCTCCTCCCCTCCACGACATCATCACCGAATCACCATCTACGAGCTCCAACCACATCAGACGACACTATGAAGCTCTCCGTAGGGCTTGCGGCTGCCCTGACCGGCGTCGCGACCGCGCTCTCTTCGGACCAACCCGCTGACGTATATCTCCTGCAATCGAAGCAGCCTTCGAGCTCCGATATCCCATCATTACCACGACAGATTGCCCGCCTTATCCTCCTTCAACGTCTGTCCCCCGAGGGTCAACATGCATCTTGGGATCTTCCCGAGTTCATCTCCAACGAGAAGGCTGTCAGCTACTTGAACGAGTTCGGCAAGGCCCCTCAGGCCCTCTTCAGCAATGCCGCCTCCACAAACCCGTCTCAGCTCGTCGTCATGCTCGAGGGCATGACTGCCGACAACGCCAAGACGCTCCAGAAGTCTTTTGCAACCTCTGGACCTACCTTCAGAGTCGGAGATGCTCCCTCCATCACGGCCAATGATATGCTGCTGGCCAACGACTTGCCGTCGGTTGGCGTCACCGCAAAGAACTGTGCTTTCGATAAGGCCATCAATCCCTTTGCCGAACAATGTTGGAGTGGCAAGTCATCTGTCGTCAGATATGACACCATGAAGGTGAGCATCATATCCTCTCAGAGATCTTGCATCCTTCGCAAAGAAACTGACCCTTACTCTCCTCAGGACTCGTCAATTCTCGTGTCCCTCACCGAGAACGCCACCCTTCTCAAGCAGCTTGCTGCCAATGGCGAGATGGAAACCGTCATCATCGCGATGCCCGAGTCATCTCGCAACTCCAAGTTGCGTCATTGGTCCTCCAAGCCCGAGGAGCTCCGTCGCCGCCAAGCCGAGGAAGTTATGACAATGACCGAGACCGACGACCACGATCAGCCCGCGCCCACTACCCCCGTCCAGAGCACGGCGCCATTCGTTGGCAACGCCGAGAGAGGCACTATTCCTTCTTGCTTCGGCTCGCAGGATGCCTGTGTCAAGGCCACTGGTAACTGTTCGGGCCACGGCGAGTGCTTGAACAAGTACGCCAAAGCGGATGGCCAGTCCGCCGGAAAAGAATGCTTCTCCTGCATGTGCCTCGGAACTAAGAACGAGACAACTGGCAGCGTCACTCACTGGGGTGGCAGAACTTGCAGCAAGATTGACGTCAGCGTTCCCTTCTGGCTGTTCGTCGGTTTCGGTATTGCCATGGTCGGTACCCTGACCTTTGCTATTGGTCTGCTCTTCAGCGTTGGCGAGGAGAAGCTTCCGGGTGTCATTGGCGCTGGCGTCTCCAAGACCAAATGAGGATGGTCATTGGATGGTCATTGAACAATAGGGATGGATGGGCCTTGACCTTGATCGAGGCAGGGTGATTGTGCTTATAATTGGCAAGTGGTAGTCTGTACCATAGGTGTATTCTCATGCGGCGTTGGCATTGGCAGGACATTTCTCTCTTTATACGGAGAGGTTATTTCTTAGACAATCGAAAAGAATCGAAGCTATGATAACATGATTCCTCTTTTCCATCCTGGGTATCGCTATATGAAGTACTGTCGGTCTCGACTACAATGGCTAGTCGATATCTCCTACGTCTGGACGGTTATTTGGTGTTGTTCCTAGGCTCTCAAGGCCCCTTTCAACCCTCAGCTCGCTCGCTCCGGCATTCGTAATCTGTCTAGCTGGCGATTGCGTAGCCGACTCGACCGACGCTCCGTTGCCCACAGCAGCAGTGTATTTTTGCCCAGCTTCGTTGAGCAGCTGCTGCACCTCGTCCTTTCTGACCATGATGCCGTCTTTCTCCTGTGTCAGCTCATCCACCCGCTTCTTTTTCTCCGCAAGCTCGAGCTCCATGGCGCGCATTGTTGCCTGCAACCTCGAAAGACAATCCGTCAGGCTCGGCAGCGGTGTGATCTTTGGCGGGACCTGCAGGAGCTGCTCGGCGGGATTGCGCTCGGGCTTCTCTAAGCCGTCCATTCCCGACCTCGTCTGTGCCGCCTCGAAAGCTGCGCGTCTCTCTGCCTCCGAAGCATCGGACTCATCACCCGAGTCTCCTTCGGCCATCTTGATCTGCTCAGCCATCTCGCGCCTGCGCCGTTGCTTCTCCTCCCTTTCGGCCCTCTTGCCCAGCGACAAGCCTCCGTCCTCAACAAAGTCATCGAAGCCTTCCCCGAGATCTTCATCCTCGGCGACGAGACGAGTTTCGGTTTTCTTCTTCCGTAGAGAGGTCCCGCCGTCCTCGGTGTCGTCAAAGGAGATGAAGTCGCCATCTTGCTCCTGCGCCAGCCGAGCCCGGCGTTGCTTCCTCTCCTGAATCTCGGCTTCGGTGAGAATGTTTGTTTGCGCCGGCCGAGACGTAAACTCATCCTGGTTGACTATCAACGCGCCCTCTAGCTCGGAGGAGTCCAGATCCATCCCGTCTTCGTCTTCCATGCGCAGGGACATCAGGTTCTGCGGCGTGTTTGGCGTCTCGTTTTGTAGTTCGCTGAGGTATTCTTTGCTGTACTTTGGACGGTCTTCATCCTCGTCGCGGAATGATCGCATGGGTAGTCGGTTCTTGAGTGCGCTGTTCTCGAGTGCCTGGTGGCCTAGGGTCGACTTTTTGGGGGTCGTGTATCCTGACTTTGCTCCCTCGTCGCCATCACCTACAGCACCACCAAAAGACAATCTTGATGAAGACTGGCGCTTCTTTTGCTTCAGTGAGCTTGAACGGCTCACTAAGGGACGAATAACCACGGGCCCATCCTCACCCTCATCGTCTTGTGCAGCGACTTTGGGTTTGGGTTTCGTGGTTGCGCCGATCGCGATGCCGCCGCTTGAGTCGTCGGTCTCGTTAAAGTTGATGCTCTTGCGCAAACCAGATTGTCGAAATGGCTTTCTTGTGAATTTCACCGCTACCGGTTCACTCTCTAGAGACCCATTAGCCTTGCGAACGATATCAGCGCAAGGTCTCTGGAAGGGATCTGCAGACTCACCATCCTTTACTGGTTCTTGACCAGTTGGCGACGCTTTGCCCGCGTCATCTTCATCGTCATCGAGGACCTTGATTATTTTCGCTTTTCTTTTTGGCGTGAATGCACTCATTTTGTGTAATATGAGGTTGCGAGTGTGAACTTTTGTTAGGTGTGATGTCAGTCAGGCAGCTTCGCGACCTCTCAAAAGGTGCTGTCGATAACGCACCGATAAGATGTTTATCTCCACGTGACTCCGCCCAATTTTCCAGATACCGGTAGGTGGCAGAGAGATCCCCTCGGTCAGGCTGGCTGCAGAGAGCTCCGTCGCGTCGCAAAGCTCACCTCGCGCGACATCATCAAATCGGCACCCACCCATTGAACCGCTCCCCGGCACTCTGCACTCACCTACGAAATCAGTCAAGATGGCGCCCGCACAGCCCGAGCTGAAGAAGGTACGGAAGCCCCAATTTCTCACGGACATACCAGAGTCTCCAGACTTGTTCGATGTACTGCCAGATAACGGAAGCCATGCAAGCTGCTTGGCCATCCCTCATAGTCTCATCCACTACTATTCGAGGATTCAGGAAGCTGACACATTCTGTCGTAGTACCTCGACAAGAGACTGTTTGTGCAGCTCAACGGCAGCCGCAAGGTCATCGGTGTTCTCCGCGGTTACGATGTACGCAAGCCCTTAACGATCTGCTTAGTTGAGAACCCTGCTAACCAGTGCCAAAGGTTTTCCTGAACATTGTGTTGGACGAGGCTGTCGAGGAGAAGGAGGGCGGCGAGAAGGTTCGGATAGGCATGGTGGTATGTTGCAAAAGACCCCCCTTTCAACCTTGCTTGGAACATGGAACTAACACAGCGACAGGTCATCCGCGGCAACTCCGTTGTCATGCTGGAGGCTCTCGAGAGAATCGGCGGTGACGATCGCAACCACCAGCGGTAGACGGAGCCTTTTTGTCTGGTGGTCTACCTCCGCGAAAATGCAGTACAGGTTTTACAAGTTGGCGTTATGACGGCAAAAGATGATTTTTTGGTTTCAGAGACAAGGATGGGGATGAAATATGCTAGATACCAGCACAACGATGTCACATTCAAACGGTCCAGAGGTACGACTGCGCAGCCTGCAACCATAGGCCGGGACGGAGCAGGGCATCTCTACTTGACGGGACTGGCCCAGGCCTTCTCGTCATACCAGTCCATCATGCGGCCGCCATACCTACGAACCCAGCCCTTGATGCCGCCTTTGAGGATGACGGCCTGCACGGCAGTTTCGCCAAGCTCGTCGAAATAGTCCTGCAGCCAATTCGCTGACCGAGGACCACGACCATTGCTGCTTCCTGAGTGGCTTCAGCAAAAGGTTTAAGGCAAAATAAAAGAAGGGTCTAGACAGTCACAAGAGGCAGACGGCGGAACTCACCGCAGTAAAATACAACACGCTTGATACCAGCCTGCTTGCAAAGCTGATGAATGATCGGTCTCGTTTGATAGAGGGATTGGGCCGGAAAGTTGATGGACGTTGAGATGGTGCCGCCTTCAAAGTCGTTCCGGCGCACATCGACGAGCAAAAAGTCTCGAGGTGTGTTGTTGCCGACCGCAGCTTGAGCCTCAAGCAACCCCATCACCTCATCTGCCTCGATTTCCGGGGACTCGGCCTTGGGAGCGGGAAAGGCCGCCCACCATGGCGGGGTCTCTGACGCTGCGGCTTCTGCCATTGCGTGCTTCTCGTAGGCTACGGAATCCGGCTCTGGTGTAACTCCAGGCTCTCTCTCTCTACCCAATGCGATGAGATGCCAGCCTGTTGTTCCTGACGCTACGTGGTGATGTGTGACCGGTTTGCGGATAGAGATTGTGCATACGGCAGTTGCGATGGTGCGGGCGTCGAGTTGCGGGCGCAACTTACCCCGGATTTCGCGATGAGATCTCTACCAGATAGATGGCCGTGACCGATTCAACGGGAAGACGATGGGGGATTAACGGGTTTGGGCAGTTGAGAAGAGAGTTACAGAGCCGCAGAAGCGAGCCAAGCGGTGCGTTCAATATCCATAACTCTCGGCACTCTGCGATTGTGGAGATTTCCGTTCGGAATCCTCTGTCATTCCGGGGCGTTTATTGGCTGTCAATGATGCCATTACGCCAAAAGATGCTTTCTGCAACTTGAACCCTTGCGCCCGTCACACTCTATTCCCCCATCAAGAGCCATGTTGATTCCCGAAACTCTCGTGTGCCAAGGAGAGTTCTGCTCGACTTCTTTCAACTACAAACTATTATCACGGCTTCTGAACACTAGTTAGTTTCTTCTTTTCTTCCTCTCTCAAGCTCTGATTTTCTCTCAACAGCACCACCCAACCACCTTGCTTCCCGCCCACATGCCGAGACTAAAACCAATGCATCTCTTATCTTTTCCCGTGGGATTCGGATCGGCTATCTCAGCCAATTAGTGGGGAGCTCGGCACTCTTGTCCACCTCAACCTTGAATTCCCCCGAAGCTGCGTTGTTGCGGTATTTGTCCTTATCTTAACTCGCTTCAAGCTTCCCTTGGGGGTCTCTACTCTCTTTTCTTCTGTCTTCCCCTCAAAGTTACGTTCCATTATTGATTCGAGGTTCCTAGGTTTCCGGCTGGCAAAGACAGAAACTTTCCCACCCAAATCCACACTACCTACAGCAATCTATTCCATGATTGTAAATCAACCTTGAGAGCACCCCGTTACCGGAGCCGGGCCGGTTAACCCAGGCATACGAATCCGAGATGCCACAAAGCTGTGGTCTCCTCTATTGAGCCTACCTTATCTATCAACGGATATATCTTATCTATCGATTAAGATATCGCAGCCTCATCCAACTTGCTTATGTCAGAAAGATGGAATGCGCCAAGCGGCGTAAGGCAGTTTGTTCTAGTTTCTTCCTATGAGAGGTCATAAACCGTCGACTTCAGTTACACAACTTGATCTCGGGCGAGCTTACGCTATCTTAATAGAACCTGTTGCGCGATGTCTCGGATGTAAGATCGCACAACCATCACAACAAGGTACTTCGGACAATAGAAGCTATCGCATCGGAGTACGGAGTAGATGACTTCAATCTATGACTCTTCCGGAGTGAGCCGGCAAAATGCAAGTCTACACCAACATCCCTGGTATTCCCTCGTCTTATCCCATGATCCCCATCTGCCATGTTCATCCCAAGGGCGCGTAGAAACGACCCAGGGCGCCAACGACATGGCTACGGCAGATGAACGAGTTGATAGGTCCCCGGTCTCGGTAACCTTGAACCTCCACACAATCCTTCACGCCCTCTCCTCTTCCCCCACCGTGGCCTCCGGAGGCTAAGTCTCCAAGAGAACGGGGCCGTTGTATACGGCATGGATTTGTTTGCCCCGCCAAACAGCTTGAACTTCGGCCGCTATGGCTTCTCGTCCCTATCTTCCCGCCTGCACTGCACCGCCTCCACTGATAACGTCCAACATCCAATGACTCGGATCCTCAAGACAGACGACACTCGCCCGTGTGCGACGTCAATCTGCATGGCAGCCACATGGTGAGCCATGGAAGTGCCCTTTGATTGACGTTTCTCACCTGCTTCTTCTGGTATAGTTGAAGCCTTTGGCAAGGGAAGAAAAGCAAAAGGCGCGGGAAAGTCTCCGATGGAGCCCTGACTTGCCGAATACCGTTCCAGTACCAGCTACCCTTGAAGTTGTATCTACCATCGCCCAAGTGCCACTTGTAGCGTAAGCGGTCCGACACCGCCAAGTCCCAGCCGGTTGTCATCCGATGACCAATATTGTAATGTTCATGGATTGGGCACCGATGGTACGGTTCATGCTGTGGCCGTGGGCCGCGTTCTCGAGTCTACACCGAGATTAATATCGATTTGACGACAGTCCGGGTAGTGACCGGCGTCTTACTCGTTACCGGCGTACTATCATCGACGCCTGTGCCTGACTATAAAGAGGTGCGGGCGCATCTTCGACAAAGAGAGAAGGGATTTCAGAGACTCATCCTCACGCCAAGCTTACCCCGGATTCTCTCTGATCGACCTTCTCCATTTACAATGGCTCGGTGGTTCCTCTCTTTCGTTGCCGGAAGCGCCCTCGCGGCGGCTTCTGGCCTTCCCATGAAGCTCGAGACAAGGAGCGCAGTCACCTCCCGCGTGTCCAATATTCACATCACTCTCGAAGAGCCCATTGAAGAGGCCGTCACATTCACCTACGGTTCATGTCGAGGTGCCTCCATGGGCGATGCTCACCACACCATCGTCAAGTCAGAGGTGCGCGACTCTCAGCGTCTCGTCTGGGTTCTGCCCGAGGATGCTGCCACTGATGGATGCATCTCCGCGTGGGGTGTTTCTGGCGAGTTGAAGGGCAGAAGTGAGCCACAGACTCTGCACCACAAGTGGAAGCGTCGGGCTCTGAAGAGATGTAGGTGCGCTCACGTTATTGCTGTATTGTGTCATACTCTGACACGCCATAGCTATTGAGATGAACAACGGCACCGGCATTGACACGCTCGGAGCCTGGTTCGAGGGTGTCAACCTCCTCAAGGATAAGGAGCCTACTACAGTGGATGTCGATGCTGCCAAGTCTAAGCACGTTGCTATCGTCGGCGCCGGTATGGCTGGTCTGATGAGCTACCTCGTCCTCTCACAAGCCGGCATGACCAACATCAGCATCATTGAGGCCGGCCAGCGTCTGGGAGGCCGTGTTCATACCGAGTACCTCAGTGGTGGCCCCTTCGACTACTCCTACCAGGAGATGGGTCCCATGCGCTTCCCCGAGCACTACGTCGACCCCAAGACCAACACCACCTACAACATTACTGATCACCAGCTCGTCTTCCAGCTTGCCGCGGAGATGAACGAGCTCAACAAGCACGACAAGAACCTCAGCGTCGACTTCATCCCCTGGATCCAGAGCAACCAGAACGGTCTCTCTTACAAAAACGGTATCAAGCTTCCCAACGGTCTGCCTCCTACTTTGGCTCAGATCGCCGCCAACTCTTCGCTGGCTGTCGCCACTGTTTACGATGAGTCTACCAACACCCTCAACGAGAAGGTCGACGAGTATCTTCCTGGCAGTGACTTCTCTGTCCGCATGGCCCAAAACATGTTCAAGGCTCACCGCGAATTCCTCGACTCTGGTCTTCAGGGCCTTGGTGGCGATGTCTGGTCCGAGTATGCCTTCATGGTGAACTACCTGAAGGGCTCCCTCAACTCGACGGATGCCTTGGGCAGCTACACCGCCACCTCGTTCTGGGACACCCTATACGAGGGCATGTACTTCCAGGCTGCGTCCTACAAGACCATCGACGGTGGTCTCAGCCGTCTGCCGTTGGCATTCCACCCTCTCGTTGACGACATCACTACCATGGACCGCAAGATCGAGCGCGTGCAGTTCGACTCGGAGAACCTCAAGGTCAACCTCCAATGGCGTGAGTCCTTCAAGAACCAGACCTTTGAGACCTCTGAGTACGACTACGCCCTGCTGGCTGTCCCCTTCTCCATCATCCGCAAGTGGCGCCTCCCATCCCTGCCTTTGACCATCTCCAACGCCATTAAGGAGCTCCCCTACACCAGCGCCTGCAAGGTCGCCCTCGAGTTCTCTGAGCGCTTCTGGGAGCACTACGAAAACCCCATCGTCGGCGGTTGCAGTACCACTTCTGACATTGCTGGCATTGGTTCCACGTGCTACCCCTCGTACAACATCAATGGTACCGGCAAGGCCACCATGTTGGCCTCGTACATCTCGGGCGACTGGGGCCACCGCTGGGCTTCCGTCTCTGAGGAGGAGCATGTCCAGTACGTGCTCGACGCCATGGTTGAGATCCACGGCGAGAACACCCGTGAGCTGTACACGGGCAAGTACAACCGCCGCTGCTGGGTTCTCGACCCTCTCGAGAGCGGTAGCTGGGTCAGCCCCGTTGCTGGTCAGCATCAGCTTTACATCCCCGAGTACTTCAAGACGTACGATAACGTAAGCTATGACCTGCTCTTGACTAGATTACTGAGAAAAGTCGAGATTCCTAACATTGAAATCAGATGATCTTCATTGGCGAGCACACCTCCTATACTCACGCTTGGATCGCCTCTGCTCTCGACTCTGGAATCCGCGGTTCCGTCCAGCTACTCCTCGAGCTTGGTCTCGTTGATGAGGCCAAGGCTGCCGTCAACAAGTGGATGGCTAGATGGATCGATATCGTAAGCTCCAATTCTCAGCCACACGGTGATGAGGTGTTCCCAACACTAACAACACTTTCTAGTGATGTAAAATAATGATAATAACGAGTGTGGGAACCCAAGAGTAAAGGGTTCGGGGAAGAGTCGATTTGTCGCCAAGGAATGGCGGTACATAATCTTACATAGTGTGACGATTTACGAGCAATAGATCAATGAAATCTCATCCAACATTGCCTCCTAGAACTACCACGTGCATGCGCCTGCGCAGCGTGTCCGCATCTGACCGCAGGCGCGTCAGGGAATAAGACCACCAAGATGGACATGCGCAAGGGTCCCCACAACATAAGAGACGACAACCCGCATGGCCATACCCGTTTAGCCTCCCTGTCGAATGCTGCATGCAGCCGAAAGCATTAAAAGTAGATTTCGGGCTCAGCCTTGCAGATATGATCATCGTTCGATGCCGCGTCGCACGGTTGATTGGGGTGGGGTTCGGCCAGACCCGGGATACGATGGTTCGGCATCTGCTGACAACGCCGCACTTGTGCAGCGCCAGACTGATCCTTTAGCAAAGTTTTCAAGTTGCACTAGCCGTGGCTGCTTTGTCATCTAGCGCTTCTATGCGGCATCTGTTCCGCATTCCAGTGTCCCAAGTAGGCGCAAGAGTTCTCGTATATGTAGATATTACAGTGATAATCTCTTCATGAGCTTTGCTACATGTAAGTATCGTCCGGTCTAGGCAGGATATGATTATCAAGTTAGCCTGGCGAATTATCAGAGCAGCTCGTTCTTTTCCTCCTGGAGTCTGCGCTCGCTCGTCTCGAACAACCGAGGAACGCCAGACTGCGAAAATGGCACACCATCCCGTACGATCTTTGCCAAACCCCTGGCTGTCAATAAGATGAATGACATGCCATGCCCATTGAATCCCGCGCAGATGAATTGCCCCGGTTTTGAAGGCACAGGCCCGACATGGGGGTATGTATCGTTTGTGTACTATGCCCATTTGTGTCAGTCATTCGCATCTCCAGATCATCACTTGCGTCAAATAGGTACGCGGGGCGCAGCAAAACTCACCCCCATGATTCCTGTCCAGATACTGTCGACCTTGGCTCCGCTATTCTCCCACCCACGGAAGTTCCTCTGCATGTGGTCGTCAAAGTAATGAGCAGCGGGCTCGATGAGCTTCGAATCGTCCCAGACGTTGTACCATTCGTTGACGCGCGGGATGACCTCGGTCCTCGCGCCACCAACGACAATGCTACCGTCCGGCCGCGTGACTTGGTAGTCGTAGAGATTAGTTCCGTGCCGTAGCGAGTATGTCATGGGGAGATGTGGGTGCTCGGCACCGTCGGGAGTAGCCACATGGCTGCAGATCCCGCGAACGGGGATGATGCGGTTTTTGTACTCTGGGAGGATCGTGGACGTGTACCCGTTGGAAGCGTAGATGACCGTCTTTGCCTTAATGACGCCTCTGGGCGTGGTAACGGTCCAGAAGCCGCCTTCTTGGGAGTCGGAAACTTTGGTTACGGGCGTGTGAGTGTGCAGCTGTGCTCCCTTGTCGACAGCTTGAGACAGAAGGAATAGAACCAGCTTGTAGGGCCTAGACGGGGGTCAGTTTCTGCGCTGACACAGACAACAGGATGATTGCAGACTATACCAGATCGAGCCCGCCTGGAACGAAAAGACAGCGGTTGCATCCTTCACACCGGAGAATGTCGCGGCTTCCTTGCCTTCAAGATAATGAACAAGCTTCGCGGTTGGCGAACCCCACTGCAAGAGCTCATCCAGGCCTTCCTTGATCGGCTTTGCAAGTGCCGGGTCTCTCAGGACCGCCATGGATGTAGTCATCCGGAAGTCGCAGTCAATCTTCTTTTCCTGTACCAGATCTCTCACGGCGTGAAGATTGGCGAGCTCAAACAGTGCCATCTCATCCGCTGTCTGTTGGTCATATCGTCTGGCACGAGCGGGAAGGCCTGCATAGAGATCCGGCCTTACGTGGCCGCCTTGCTTATGTTAGACTGGGGATCTTTCTACGCTGCGGGGGGAGAGAGCTTGGGCCTACCGTTGCGGGCTGTTGCACCAGAGCATGCTTGCCTGGCTTCGAGGATCGTGACAGTCGGACGTGATGACGGATCAGTACCATCCAAGAGGTAGTACGCCGAAGCTGCACCTGAGTATCCGGCACCAATGATGACAATGTCCTGTTCCGCTGGCAGGGTCTCGGAGCTTTGGTGGCTGTCTAGAGGATGCAGATCCTTGCGCCAGTAAGGGGTGATGGCATTGGGGACAGGGAATGGAGTCTCGGACATTATGGAGGACCTTGAGTTGTATCTTGAAAGGCCCAGGTAGTTGACGCAGATTCAATACAATGAAGACACGAACACGCACGAAATGTGAGTTTACGAAATGAAATTGTTATTGCTGGTAGGTAACTTGATTAAGATGAGGAGGCTACAAGGTAGACTGTTGAGATATCGGAGTGTGTTGGGTGTGAAGATGCTCCGAGGGAGATAGGCACGTAAATGCCGAAAACGCGGGGTCATGTTCACCAGCTCCGACTCGGAGCCGACCGGGATCTTGCACAGACCCGGGCCGGCGAAACCGGGGCCTTGCCGGGTGGCGTTTCGGAGAAGCTGGTGTCTCGCTCCGGGAACATCGGAGGCACTAAGGCAAGGTCATGCAGCACAAGTTCAGGAGGTAAACTCACCAGTTTTCACCCCGCTGCCCTTGTTGATAAGTTTAGTTGAACTTCAACTTCAACGAACACTGCCAGTGACACTCAAACGTTGCCCGCTTCTCAACCCACTCTCGCCACTCAACTCTGGGGATCACTGCCCCTTGCTTGCCGATTACCTGACTCGCGCAATCGCACGCTCTATGGCCTGCCCTAGCACAGCACGCTAACATCGTACACTCGGTACCGACACATCGGGCATCCGTTACGCTACTGCAAAACGCTACGATGTCTTTCGGGGCCTAATGGATGAACGACATGCCACGCCCCTGACCCTGCACCTGTCATCTGTCAAGTCTGGGTCTCTGCAACCCTTCGGAACTTTCACGATGGCTCACCGCCGACATGTCAATCTGTCTGACAGGCCACGAGGCTTGAAACCTTGTTGGCGGGGGATGCACTCCGGCCTGGGGACGCGCCATTGTTGCTACCTGGTCGACCTCACCGCTCGTTATCAGGTATCATCGTCGTGAACTTTGCTAGAATTCCTGGTCAAATTGCTTCCAATTCACACAATGCCGGCGCCTCTACCGCCTAGGATCGCCGATGAGTGATCCGGGACTAGGTAGTCTCTAGCTTGCAGGTCAATGCCAACTCTGAGAAATTGGACAGTCTCCGCTCCTCGAACCACAACCAAACGATTCCAACTTGCCCCTCCAGAACTCGCAAGACGTGATGATGAACAGCTGTGAACAGCTTTCCAAGTCCCAAATTCAAACTGCGGCATCCATGTCGGCCAGCTCTGCCCATATTCGAGTCATGCTTATTACGCAGGGCAGAATTTCCATCGTGTCACTCAGAGGCCCCTCAAGCTCACGTACTGTGCTACCCTACATATGGTCTCTCAAGAATGTGAGCTTACGCTCCTGTCTTTGACATAACCGGCGGGCTTCCTTAACAGCGACGCTTTCACGCCTGAACTATGCATCTGTGACAATGTTGCTGCTATTTACCAATCGATGACGCCATGGAGTCATGAAATGTGCCGCAAGATTCCTCCCAGATCGGATCTGGTTCATCCAACGACGAGCTGCATGTCTCCATTGCCCAAACAGGCACTCGATCGCTCATCGAGGCCTGTTTTGGGACAGAGGACGTCAACGAAGCTGCAGGGACCTCGGTGACTGCCGGCGCCGCCAACCAAATGCATCAAAAGAACCCCACGGCTGTCGCGTGGGTAGTTGACTTTCCGCATTCTTGGATATTGAAAGTGGGGAGAATTCTGTCTTCGTCCATATCGGTCGATGTGCGTTCCGGTTCCAAGTCTCGTCAACTGAAAGTACTAAGATCGTTCCAAGCATACGGTCAATTAGTAGAATACCCAAGAAGAGCACGAAGTAGCACCAAGCTCACCATATCATTATAAGTGTGACGAATGTGAAATCTAAGTGAAGTTCAGTTGAAGTGTAGTCAAGATTTAGGTGTACCCAGAGACGCTCAAACGTTCAAATTATCTCACGATAGTTTTCCTACCTCAGTCACAATGGCTGACTTCCATTGTGAAGCACAATGACGTCTGTGTTCTAGCCGATGTTTAGCAGAGGCCTAGTCTCATTCTGCTGACGTATATCTTCATGGTTGTTCTAGAGATGGGTATCTACGTATAAACTGAAAGCCGATTTCCTGGATTCCTTTTCATCATGGTGGATACATTCAACTCACTCGCACGGACAGCTCACCAAAACCTCGGAAAGTCTTTTATACACGTGGTTTACGAGAAAATTCCCTTATCTGCTGAAGAAGATCATGCAAGCAATTGCATTCAAAATCTTGGCTCCGCATCCATCTGAGGGTGGGCATGCAGGCTTATCAGCAACACGTCGGCTCAGGTTGTAATATCTGGTTCATCTGACGATGCGTCTCTTTGACAGATCATATCTCTTGTTTGAAGAGCATGATGTGCATCAAATAACATGAAGACGCGTGGTTGACGTGGGCCATCTCTCAATCTCGATATTTACCTAGGCTACCACTGACCTCACCAAAATGGCGGGGCTTCTGAGCCTCCGCACCCGCTCCGCAACCGAACCGGGTATATCATACTTGTAGTGCGAGTGAGGCATTGATGTACGGGATGAAATCAGATGGGTCAATAAATCCCATGTAGCTTCATAAGCCATGTCTGACATGAAACACTGACATCTGTTTTGAGAAAATCAACCACATACACTATTGCTATCTAGCGACTGGAAACACGAATGTGCGGTTTGGTCAACTACTGACTCTGACCGGATTTCTTGACTATCAACTTCACTTTACCCATTTTAATGCAGTGATGCATCCAGTACATATGCAGCATCTCAAGAGCCGCAATCACTTCGCTGAACCCACGGCAAGTGGTAGCACTATCACCTGCAAGATGAGCTCTGAAGAATTCAAATTCAGACATGACGCTCATCATTCGCATTGTCTGTGAAGAATTTGGCCGATACCCGCACACGTACAGTAGCCTCGGGGTTTGTTTTACGCCGTAGCGGGGACTTCATCCTCGGCAACTCGTGTTCACAGAAAAGTCATCTCAGTCTATCGGAAGTGGCAGCTCATTCGAGCTCAACGGCCCGACCCTTTAGTAGATGTGCTGGAATACCATGTCTCGTACGAGATGTTGGGACGAAGTGGCAGTAAATCTGGACCCAAAGCATCATTCGCGCTACGATGCATATACAGTCTCCGCAAGCCTGCATTTACAGTACTAAGCATGTTGCTCGTTACCACGTCTCGCTTAAGTATGAGGAAAACTAGGAGTTGTTTTCCCGAGATGCTTTGAGGAACCGCCGACTAAGGGGATCCGCGAACCGCCACAATCGAAGTTGGATACGGATTGGACACTTTCCTGTCGTTAATTACTGTGCCCTGAATCAACGTGTGTGTGATATCCAAGTCAGTAACTATGATCAGTAATCTATCATCGCCAAAATGGTTGATCCGTCAGTCATTTCTTCACCTGCAAGAGACTAGATGCCGTGTTTGCTACAATGCCCGTCCCGCCATACGGGCCATGGATCTACAGTCCCTCATCCATACTGAATGCGGCGTCGAAAGCACTGTGTCAAACACACATGGGTCCTAGAGATAGGCTAATAACGGTGATGACAAGCCTCAAACCTCTGGCCAGGTGAGCATGGTGCCCGAAACTGTGGAGGCCATGTAGCGAGCTTCCGGGCGGATGCGCAACGGACCACTGGCTGAAATTTCACATTGATGAGTGACGAGCGGGAGGCCGGCGTACCTGGTGCCTGGCAAGCAAACATCTCTCGTTAATTATTACTGTTGGGAGCTAACTGTCATGGGCATAAGCTTTAGCGGATTCGAAAGAGATTTTCGACGCCGTCGGCTTTGGAAGTGTCAAATTTTTACCCGCCCGGCATTAGCTGGGTTCAGGTAAGCCCAGTTGGGTTGTGTGCAGCCTGTTGGTGGCTTGGCCGGGGAAGAAGCCGTGCTGGCATCCCTTTTCTTCTTCCAAGTCGCATAATGTCGTACTCGTGGATGCCATGTGGCTCAAGGTAAATCCGTGCGGTGTTGAAGGTCGCGGGAGTCTATGCGGCTCCAGACCGGACGAGCTTTGGTGTTTGCTTGTCAATTATCAACTGGCGAACGGGCGAAGCATTGCTTCTTCCAAGACTGAAAATGTGCGAGAGCAGCAACGGAACAAGCATGTCTTCTGCTTAGACGGGGCCTGGAACGATGTTTGCTTGTCAGCATGGGGTCTCGACTCTCGAGCACCTGGCCTGTGTGATGCATCACACAGGTTGGAACTGCAATCCCCCGGAGATTTCATGCAATTGTCTTCGCAAGGACCCAGAATCGAACCAAAAGCCTTGGTCACACCTGCATTGCGTCAAGTCTCACTTTTGGGACACGCAGAAGCAAATGAAACGGCCGCCACAATATCAAAGAGCACCGCAGGTTGAGGGTCTGGTTTTCTTTGGTGGCGTCGAAGAAAATCAATAAAATAAGCAAACATTTCCCCCCCTCTCTTTGGAACTTGGGAGACAAACCCCTCGACAAAACGACATATCACATTCTGTTTCGTTACGCCTCGGTCCATCTATCAACACGGACGGAGGGGAAGTGGGATCTATCAACCGCTGGTGGCTTAGGTACGCTGTGCGGGTAGGCTGGAAATGCTAGGTGAGAATTGTCGCCTGCATTTGAACTTGCGCTATAACTGAGGAGTTCGGTCATCCGCCGACCACAGGTGCGATCATTTCCTCGGTATTTAGTAGCTTCAAGCGGCATGTTTGCGGCCGCTGCGTGGAGAGATCCAAATTGCAATGTTTGCACTGTAATTTGACACCTGTCACAAATGACAAGAGGCGGGCACCTTGGAAATTTGCGAGGGCCTTTTGGCCCCCTACTTTACTGTGTAGTCTTCTGTTGGTCCATCGAGATCTTTAGAGATCTCCATCACATCACTGACGGGCCCGGTGGGTGGGCTATTCGAAGTCCTACGGATACCTGTAGGTGGAGGTCACATTGACAATCTGATAATTGCGTGTGGGAAGACTCTGATCCGCTAACGGCTTCCGCTTCGAGGCTCAGGAAGCAGGCCACTGTCAAGGGTTGTGTGCGGGG